CAAAAATAATATTGCGATAACGAATGTTTTAAATTATATATAGTAATCTGTTACCACTTTGTGTGTTGTTTATGTGGGGGTTGTCAGAACTTGTAATATTTGAAAAGGGTGGCCCTACAAAAAACGTTTGGTAGAACCACCGGTCTATGACTTTGTTGGTTACAACTCATACCAAAAATTATAAAAATTAAAAGAAATATTCAACAATTAATCAGGCAACAAGAGAGTGAGAATCCAAAGTTTCAAAACGTTTAATAATGTTGAAATAATAGTAATCGAACAAAGAAGATGAAAAACACACACAAAGTTTCAAAAATAGAGTAATTTTATTCCACAGCATTATAGTAACGAACTGCTTACCGTTTGTACATTGTAATATAATTCACAAGATACAATAATGCCTTTACATTTGTGTTATATACCTATACAAAAAAGTACTTTTGTTGCCATGAGGCTAATTAATTTGTATGTTTCCACGTTTTACTTGTAAAGTTGAATTTATAATAGTACAAATACATGCACTAAAATACCTGTAAAATAGTACTACAGCCAAGTTCTTTAAACAATAAGTAATGTATTGTTACGACAGCGGTAGTCACGTGACGCTGGTAACACGCCATGGGTTTCTAGAAGGATCATGACTGTTCCCGACAACTCTAGTCTTTTCTACGCGCCCTCTATTTTAGTATATATGCCGGCAAATAAAGTGACGGCATAGATAATTGCAGATAGGGAGATACAGAGACAGATAATCGAGTCAAGTCGTTAGTAAAGTACGTGAATTATTGTTAATTATAGCATGTGTTGAAGTTAAAGTGACTGTGGAAATTAAGTGTATTGCAAAGTTGTATTGAGAAAGAATAAACTAGTTTTTTTTAAAGAAAGGACTTGTATCGTATGAAGTTCCTCGGGAAGAAGTTATCGCGGGAAATTAACAAACGACTAGAGACTAACAGTATTATTTACTATGAAATTTATTTACTGTTGTGGAAAAAATAATTTTATCATAGCTATCTTACGTTGTACATAAAATACTAAGTTTTATTGTATACATATAGTTCCTTCACCATTTTTAAAAACACAAACCATAACAACAAAACATGGAAAAATATTAATACACAGTAAAAAAGTTTTTCAATCTATATTTACAGAAAATCAGATTTTCTATTCAATGCATTAGTCTTGAATATGTCGAAATTGAAATACATTTAAATGAAAAAGTCACATGTGTAGATATCACTTTGTGCACCAATTAGTAGCACTTATCTTAACGTTTTAGTTGTTCAACCTACAATATACTTACATATTGGCATTTTCTGAAAGAGAAAATAACTAGTAAAAATTATTTCAAAGATAAAACAATAAACATGCTTGCCTATTAAAAAAAGGGTCACTGAAAATGGTCTACTAGCTTATGAATCCACTCCTAAGTTTATGAAGTAAGTATCACACCCAAAACCAAAATAAAGATCCAATAAAAAGAAAATAAAAAACACCAAATATCCAAACATGTAAAAAATTTTAGTTTGGTTATTTCATCATTAAAACCAAAATCAGTGTTTCGATAAGAGCATATTTAATATAAAACTATTGTACTTTTAACAAAATTACCAAGACTTTATGTATTTAATGATGTGATTTTTCTAATGTGAAACCTGGTTAAGGGGAATAGTTTTAATAAATGTGTCATCTGAAAAACTTTGGTAGAACATATAGCACCTATAAAATATTGACTTTTTTAAACGATTTCTGAATAGATTTTGAAGATATTATGCAAGGGTATTTTTATTACATATAACTCAATGTTTTTTGAATAAAAACAAAATTGCAGGAATTTTTTACTATACATCAGTAGACATCCAAATATATATATATTACATTTAAAATCAAATTTTAAAGAGTGATTCTGTTAAATGTATAAACTATTAACTTTTTTTTCTTCTTCTAAATCTTTACATTTTAATAGTAGAACTTAACCCCAGGATTACCAATGAAGGATTCTCATTGAACTTTTAGAGATTGTTATTTATTTATGCATAAATATCTTTTTTAATATCAACAATATTGCAATTAACCCCAATTATTACTGCTGGGTTCCCATAAGTATTTTGTGCAGAAGGTTAACAATTTCGTGCAATTTCTTTGTCACTTTCCAAAAAAAACAAAAAACAAGAGCAATCAGAGAAATTGTATACCATGTCCCACCACTCCTTTTCGAGAATGCATGCGTATATATTGAATAAGCCAAATTTCACCTTGGAAAACTCAAAAACTCCTTATCAAATCCAGAATAATTAATGATCTACATAATTCTTGTAGTGAGATGAGTCTCAGTCTTAATGTGCTTGTGAAATTTGGTACAAATACGATAACACTTTACAGAATTGCTAACTCAGAACTGCAAAAATGCCCAATCTCCCTATTATGAAACATGCTTTAAAGTGATCCAGATCTGGATCAAATTTGGGGAGGATTTTCCCATACCAACTTCCCTTCTTGTGTAAAATTTTCATGTACATTGGTCTATTAGTTTTTAAGATACGCATGTGGAAACACAGAAAGGCCCACACATGGACCTGACTGCAATACCCTTGCCCCTCCCCCCTCTAGGGGCAAGAGTAATTACTCAATATGATGTTATACAAAGGCCTCACTGGCAGTGAATAGTGTACAAGCAAGTCTGTAATCTGAGGGTTAAAAGACTGTGTAGGAGGCATTAGCAAGCAAGGCAGATAAGAAAAAAAAAGATATTGTCATTTAATGATTAAGTACATGAGTAACGTCATATACAACAAAATGTATGGCTACGAATAGTAATACTTTATAAGGCCTACTATCAATCACATATTTACTGGATTATTCTGTTGTACATAGTTCTTTTTTAGACAGAATTATCACACGTGTTGCTCAGTAGAAATGAAAATTAATCATGAGATTGTGAATAATATCACATAAAAACAGTTCCTACCAAAATTATAGTTGACAATACTTTTTCAAAATGGTGCACCACATATACTAATGCTTAATACCCTCCACTAAAAATTTTTTTCACTAAGTTATTAATGAGTTATTTGAATTATAAGAGTTTGTTTATAGTTAAGCACACAGCTATAAAATGGGCTATCTGTGCTGTGACCACCACAGGTATTGAAACCCAGTTTCTAGTGTTAGAAGTTTGCTCACAAAACACCGTGCCATTGGGTGAATGAATTATATGAGATTGGGACTGATGTTAGCATTACCAACATAGAACTGTGCACGTGTTTATATTTTAATTTGTTGTCTTAAAAAATGTCATCACTATAAAGAAAAGCTTTGGTAGAAAATTTTTTATACAATATATAGTACAACTGTACCTATAAAATAACGATTTTTTAAAACAATATATATGTAAATACAAACACACACACATAGGTGTAGGTCGGACTGCCTATATATTAAAGGTGTGGCATGAAGCCATGATACTGTATCCATACATCATCCAATACAATAATATTTATGTATCTTCATGAAATTTGGCAAGTTTTCAGTAAGCATTCTTAAGTCTTTTTTACAGAGAAAATCAAAATTTCTAATAGAGTATTTTTGCTAAAAATTAATGATTTAATAAAGGAAGATGAGTATTGAGTACTACATGTTATCTTCATTTCTTTTATCAAAGTAACATACCAAATTAACAATAACAAAATAGATAGACGTATATTAACAATTTTTTTTTACTTCTCTTGCCAGCTGCCATTTAGTTGATGAAACCTGAGAATTTGAAAAAGCACTGTAAAGTGTGAAGTACTTAAATGTTAGTCATATAGATAATAAATTACAGACAAGACTGTCAAACTTTATAACAAACCATTGGTAAAATTTCTGTATCTAGATACATATTGTATTGCGGCATCAATATCTAGATACGCATCATATCGACTACTATGATGAAATACGCATCCCTAATATATATATATTAAACAGTTCTTTTTTGTTTTTGTTCTTTGCCTATTTTGTTTTGCAGTTTGAGAATATATATATATATATATATATAAACCAAAATACTAGCATTTGAATGTCAAGAACCTTCAAATTCAACCAATTCCAAACACACAAACTGCTAACAGTTTATCGTTTTTGAACAAATTATCCTATAACATGAAGGAGTCGTTGTACTTATTTCAAATGTTTTTTTAAATAATCAATAGCGGCTGTTGTATGCAATTAATTTTTTATGCCACAGGATCAGAATTCTTGAAGTTCAGGAATGTTACGAAACAAGTCCAATGATTGGGGATTTTCCAAAAATCCTCTGTCTTTGATGTTTCTCCCTGATAATATTTCCTTAACGGCAACTTCTATTTTCTTTCCATTAATGGTATACTATGAAAAACAAACAAACAAAAAACAATTAACTACACAAATACGTTATTTATGCAGTAAATGGAACTTCAATGACCTTCAACAAGCAAATGATGTTTCTCAAGTAATCATTATTACTATTATTCGTAAAAGAAATAAATCAATTTTCTTTAGCAGTCTCAAATGTTTTTAACACTAACAATTTATTTTTAGTGTTTCACTTTATAATTTTTTGAATTTTATTCTGGATAACAACTTATGAACTGTTTGTTTGTTTTTTTGAATTTCGCACAAAGCTACATGAGGTCTATCTGCACTAGCTGTTCTTAATTTAGCAGTGTAAGACTAGAGGGAAGGCAGCTAGTCATCACCACCCACCGCCAACTCTTGGGCTACTCTTTTATCAACGACTAGTGGGATTGACCGTCACATTATAATGCCCCCACAGCTGAAAGGGCGAACATGTTTGGTTTGACAGGGATTCGAACCCGCGACCCACAGATTGCGTGTCGACCGCCCTAACCACCTGGCCATGCTGGGCCCTTATGAACAGACCAGAGGTGATGAGTTTCTTTCACATTTATAAAAATAACTTAAAATGTTATTAAATAATTCCTTCATATATTCAATAAATTTTAAGAATCTCCCAAACAAATAAAATGGACGTTAATACTACATTACAGCCAAAGTTTGGAAAGTTGACCAAAGAAAATTTACTGTATGTGTCCAGTAGAAGTTAAAACATATAAAAACTAATATAGAAATCAACTTATATAGACTCCAGTTTGGTAAGTTAGACAGTAGTTACCAAGTAATAAAAATCGATTTTTTTTAGCTCACACAACTGGAAATGAATAGGAAGTAGTGAGAAAGTAATTAACATTTCTACTTTGATTTATTCACAGGCTTGTTTATCAAATTTGCCAAAATATGATAATTTTTAAAATATTAAACATTACATAATTCTGGGCTTTGAAATAATTACCTAAATATTAGTGAGGTATGCATTTAGGCTTGCACAAAAATTCATTACTTTGTTTATATGTTGATCTGGAAATTGTATAAATAAAAGGTACTTAATTCAGCTTAAAAGTCCAAAGGGCAACTTGAGAATTAAATCTTTTGTTAAAAAAAGGAATTGAAATATTTGTTAAAAGTTGTTGTACATTTAGATAATAGCAGAAATTACTTAAAAGTGTGTTAAGGTGTTAGGAATGGTAACCTCTTACTTTACCTATTGTCTCATAATTAGAATTATTCTATAACTAGGTCCTTGTATATACATATAGTCACTAAAATCCTTTAATTTTATATAAGCTGCATCTCAAGGTTTATTATATTTAATCCATCTGTAAAATATTATTACTGGTATGTCCTTAATTTCAAGTATCAGAGCGGGCACGTGTCGAGGAGACAGCTCCTTCCGTATTGCCACCTTTACGCGACCAATCAAGTCATCTGTTTTCACCTGCCCTGAAGCCATCTTAAGAAACAAAATGACCTTCTCTTCTCCATTTCGATCAAAATGGGATACACACAGACTGTCCTGGATTTCACTTATTGATTCAACTGAAAAGATGCAATCATTATGAAAATTTATAGTTCAACAAAATGTAATTATAGTAAAATAACACAGAAGTAAAAATATAAATACACATACAAAGCTTATTAAGAAAACTTTTTCTCATTAAAATTTGGACATAAAAGTTGAGTTTTGATTAGCTTCTAAGAATATACATATAAGGTCAAAATACTACTTTTTTTTTTATAGATATTTTGTACATATAAAACATTTATGTCAATTAAAATAGGGAGAAAAACATAAAATGTTATACAATAATTATGTATTACAAATGTATTAATGTATTAACATAATGTATTAATTATGTTTTACAAAATGTTTATTTGATATAATGTTGTAAAAGTGTAAAAAATGATACAAGTTAAAATTTTGAAGTTAAGTAACAGATTATCTAAAATGTAACACAAACGATGGATATTTTATAACGAAAAACATACCAACATGGTAGATTTCTGCACTTCCAAATCTTACTCCATTAGGGTTAAGAGTGGCATCACTAGTAATAAAAATATCTTAAAATAAATGTATATGGAGTATTATAAAGCTCTTTAGTAAGCCTAAAATCTTGAACAACAATAACAAATAACTAAACACCCGTAATGACAGAATATTTCTCAAGTAATGGACCAGCTTCTTATTACATGTCCAGTAATTTACAGAAACTACACATTTTTCCCCTACTGATTTGGTGAGCAGGAACTACTTTTTAACTGGAGTAAATTTCAGACAGATTTTTGCAGAGAAGAAACTGAGCAAAGTTTATCTTAATCTTTAATTCACAGGTGGGTTAGATAGTCTATCTTGTTACTCAGACAAATTTAATTTTATCACAAGGAAATTCCTTTTGGAGAAGTTTAAAATCACTCTTCATATTATAAAAATTCAAAGTGATATCAGGCAAATTAAACTAAAAGAAACATTTTGTAAATTATAAAAGAAAGCAAAAGTACTAACTCTTACAATTTAAGCACTGCTTTAGTCAAGATCACAATTCTTACCATGATTTATAAAGCTGTTCACCAGTTAATTATAGTATTTTTGGCACTTGTGTATAAAGTT